AAGATTCTAGGATAAGCTATGCGTAACAAATTAGTTGCAGCAACATTAGGACCAGCATTGTTTGTGACAATCTGTACAACAAGATGCTCCCCAACCTCCTTGATTCCCTTCTCTATAACTTGGAATATATAATGGGCATCATGGATATGATCAGAGGCATCAATAGACCTCCAAAAACCAGTCCCTAAAATACAATTCACAAGCAAATTCATCTTACTTCTTCTCTTCCTATCACTCCAAGCATCAGTCATAATAAAAACCCCATACTGAGCCCATGCATCATTCTTAACTTCTGCAGCTTCCTTCGTGACACTCACCACTATTTTCAAAAGAGGCTCTGCAAGCTCATATAGGGTTGGGGGTTTCATCTCAGCTCCAAATTGGCCAATTGCCTCTCCCGCGGCATAGAAGCTGCTTAGGCGAGCGATATTGAAAGGAATGCCCGCCTCATAAAACCATGTAGCAACATAATAAACAGCTCTATCTCTCTCTTCCTTCTTCATTATATTTTCAATGGTGGTTTGCTTCTTTGTTTTCATTCCTGCAGCCTCAGGGTCAGGCCGAGGCAAAAAACTATCCATAAGGCCTCTAACTCGAGGCTTCTCACTCTCAGAACCAGTAGCAATTACAACTCTCTTTCCCTTCCCCCTAATAATGGATTGTTCTACCTCTTGACATCCCTCCCCAATCCCATCCTCATCACTATCATCATCATAATTGACTCAAAACCCCAGACCTAATATCTGCTATGGAGGTAAATCTCTCATTTTTTTCATTTTTACCATACTAAAAAAATTGGTTATTTCCTCTTTAACAATAGCAGGAGTCTTTTTACATGAAGCAATATCCCCTGATACCAGGGGAATGTTTCTTGAACCGGTTTATGCCCCCATTTATATCCTTCTCACAAACCTTACATCTTATGCAATTTTTATCATTAGGATCTGGGTTGTAGCCATATTTTCAATCGAGCTCACCACTCTTATTAGATCACGAAGAATACATCTCAAAATAATACAACTTATACAAACAATAAAAGAAATCACTTACTTTGATTGCTCAATCTCCAGACTTCCACTTTATAGATGCTTCTAAGGAATCAAAATCTTCTAAAAACCCCCAAAATAGAATAAATTAAATCCAATATCAATGGGCGACATAAATTTGAGAAACCTTCTATCCTAAAGAAATCACCAAAATCTAGTTTTTTTAGGGCTTTCTCTCTCCAAAATGGGCTTTAATGTGTTTTAGACTTCAAATGAACCTAAAACCCCCATTTTTTGACCCCTTAGTATAAAAATAATGGATAAAAATAGCCCCCACCGAAACCTTTTTCCGCCTCTGGGTGGGGCACTGTACTTGGGCGGGCACCCAGGAACCTCAACTTTTTTTGGGCGCCTAAGCTTGGGCGATATGCACAAGTCCTCGGATCCCCTTAGGCGACCGCCTAAGCGCTGGCAGTCCGCTTTTTGAAACATTGGTTGAAGCTCATAAAAGCATTAAGAGGGAAATGTGCAGAAACAATACATAGAGAGAACGTAATATTCATATTTACTTACAACTATCTTGGTTATTCTACTTTTTGCCCTGGACTCCTAATACTTCCTAACTCCCTTGTTTAGTCAATCATTAGTTTTTAATAAGTAATTTATAGTAAGTTCTTTCATTGGTTGCAGTTTTTCCAACAATTCTCTTCTATTTGATGCCTACAAGTTTTGCAGGCTTGTGACTAGGATCCCAGCTTTCTTCAAGAGATTTACTGTATATAATAATTAATAATTCTTTTGGCATTCAATCTAGAGACAGATGAAATGAAAATATAAGCTTCATAGCATGAGTAAGGAGGAGGCACTACATTAGAATCCCATGAGAAAGCACGACAGTATCAGATAGGAGCCCAAGCAAGCGATCAATGTCAGAGTATGAGAGCCAACCACAACAGAGAATTAGGCAAACTGACTTCACAATCTCAATCCCAAGTAACTATTTATGCTTCTCAAGATCTTATATGTCCAAAGATTCCTAATGACTAGCTGAAAAAAGCCTCATACACAGAGAATGTTACATATTATTTTTTATAAATCTTATAGATATCAATAATATTATCAATCATGACTTTGGTTAATGGTAGGCACAACAATAAGATGCATCGAAATTTAACGTCACACCCCAAAGCCAGTTCCATCATACCGGTACATAAGATATAATCAGAACAATATATAGAAGTAAACAAGTTCCATTAAGTTTTTGCATTTGTTGGGAGTTTAGCCTTCGCAAATTTCAAAGTGAATAAAAAATGAATAGGTCACATACAAAAGCAGCATTTTGTGGTATAATAACAGTACCTTTCAATAAAAAGGTAATAAGTCAGTTTGTTTGGATCAGAATACTATTTTCTTGGAAATGTCGACCGTGTGATCAAAACAATATTATCGAACTGGGAAGTAATAAAAAAATATTGAAGTGCCCGTGACAATATTGCAATTCCATCACCTTAACTTGTTTGTTCTTTGAAAGAACAAGAAATTGAAGTAAACTATGAGCTTTATACATATGAATTAGTCAATACCAGAACATACGTCATTTCATTAATAAGCTATAAGTGGTGAAAGGTACAGCATGATATTCTGACAAGCAAGTTGTCATCTGAGGATAGGAGGGTGGTTTTTTAATTCAGTTTGTTTCTACAAAGCTTGAGACGTATATACTACTCAATTGTTATACTACTAATGGGCAGGGAACGTAACCAGAATAACTCATCCAGAATTCATCTGCAGAAATAAATTTTGTTTCATTGTCCAATTTATACAGAAATAGAGCAAACTTACTTTTACAAGCCACTCACAGATACAGGAAAGGAGCTACGAGAACAGAAAATACAGGGAAAGTAATATTGAATATGAAGCTTAAAATGCAGGTAACCAACAACCACGACTGAATATGAAGCTTAAAATGCAGGTAACCAACAACCAAGACAGGCAAAGAAGGCATAATATAGGAGGCCCCATTTACAGATCCTGAGCATGAATTTGTCCTCTCAACATCAGAATCATTGCTGGATGGCCTTTTCTTGGTTGACTGGGAAGCCCCTCAAGAAATTTGTTTGATGCTCCCCTGCATGACTTAAATTGAATTTTCAATCATTCCCTCAAGCTATTATAAGAAGAAACATTTTTTTAACTTTCCCTTTTCTACTTCTAACACTGCCAATGCTGGTGACCAAAATGCCACTACAGCAACTGTTGTTTGCATAGAGAAACAAACTACAAATCTCCCATCCAAAGCCAATTTCATGGCCATTTTGGAGATCAATTATCTTTTGCATGCAAATAGAACCAATTATTTTCATTTGTTAGGCAGAGACTAGCTAATCATTTCACATTTAACGTTATCATGACAAAATGGCTAGAAATTAAAATTAAACCAACAATCTCAGTGGTAATAAACACATATGATGAGTCAACCGAATCCAAGCAATCACCAGTCAACTGTTTATCTCGTTCAAACATGTGCGGCTAGAGGCCAACGAGAAAGCAGATGCAGTGGGAAAACAGGAGGCCGAGGCCAAGGCCTTGAAGATGTATATCCATAACCTAACATATTGAGTTTTGAATTGCTGAGGGTTGTTTCAGTTGTAATCCCAACTCAATGCCCCTAGTCTTACACCTGTCTGCTTTATGTCATCCACCCCTTTAATCTCGATCCCCTCTTTTCCTCTCAGAAGCCAAAGCACTCAAGGTTTGTGGCTCAAGGTGGGGTGCTTAAGAGTGCTCATTTTTGCACAGGGATGACAGATTTTATACATGTACATCCCTCTCTTTATTTTTTTCACTTTTACTAATAGGATTGGTTGTAAACAGAAGGCTTCAATGCAATTTTATACAAAACAGAATTTTGCTAGCTGTTATTTACTACATTATAGACTACTGTCAACATTATTAAAAAAAAAAGTAAAATCTTAATGGCAATAAACATAAACGGGAAAGTATAAATTAAGACCGTTCACCTTTGGTATATCACAATCACCCTTAACCATTAGATGCCAAATTGAGCAGCTGGGGTTGCGTCATTGGTCGTGCTTGAAGTCTGAGAAAAGCTTCCTTGGACTGTGCAGAAAAATGATATACCCTAGCCATCTGATATTTACATCAGAAGACGTGGGGTTTTGTGACCTGTGTATGGAAGTGAACAGTCTCCTTGTATACAATCCCGACATAAATTTCAACATAATTAATGCAGTAAATGTGTTATCCATTGGATGGAATTCTTTCTTCTTTGGCACAATGACACTCGCTTGTTAAAGTTATATAACAATTAAAAACAAAAAACAAAAACAAAAACAAAAAAAAGACTTAATGAAACTTATGCAGAAAGAAGAACCCACTGTAAGCTGAAACAAACGGGAAAGATATAATAACTCAAAGATTTTAAATTACAAATAGAATTATCCTCAAACTCTATGTCCTCATACCTTCACAGGAGCTTGCTGGTTCAAGGCACAATCCCCATAGAAGTATCTAAAATTGGTAGGGTATTTACAGTTGTTTATCTCTCAAGAGGGACAAATGTATATGGTATGACATTCATCACCTAACGGGTTCAGCATCTCCAACACTATCCAACCACAACACAACCTGCCCGATAGAGGGTCTCTGTTTAGGATCCTGATCTATGCATTTGCATGCAATTTCAAGCACTTGGAGCAGTTGTTTCTCGTGCTCCTTACTCCATAGAAATGGTACAAATATCTCTTCTTCTTTCTTCTCCCGTTTCATCTGGACCACCCAAGATACCAAGTCCCTGCAACCCTTTGATTTGCACACGTCAACAGGCCTCTTACCAGTAAGAAGTTCCAATAAAACAACCCCAAAGCTATAAACATCACCCTTGAAAGTGGCTGTGAGGGTCTGGCCATATTCTGGAGGGATATAACCTAAAGTTCCAACCAAGTCGGTGGTTACATGGGTATCATAAGGCCTTAAAAGCCTCGACAAACCGAAATCAGCAAGGTGGGCTTCAAACTTGTCATTCAAAAGTATGTTACTAGACTTAACATCTCGGTGAACAATATTTGGGTCGCAAACCCTATGCAAATAAGCCAATCCCCTTGCCGACCCTTGAGCTATCTTCAGCCTAGTGCCCCAATCAAGCATCAAGCCCTCATCAAGCCTCTCATGCAACCAATAGTCCAAGCTGCCATTCTCCATATAAGAGTATATAAGTAGCCTATCATTTCCATGCCTGCAATACCCTCTTAGCGAAACAAGGTTCTTGTGTTGAGCTCTAGAGAGAGCTTCAACTTCCGCTCGAAACTCTCTCTCCATTTGACCACAGTCTCCTGAGAGCCTTTTAATCGCTGCCTTGGTGTTATCAGGGAGATAGGCTTTATAAACCAAACCGAAACCTCCACATCCAATTATGTTTGCCTGGTCGAAATTGTTTGTCGATTTCAATAAATCATTAATGGTGAGCTCCATGCCTTCAGGGTTTTGAAAGAGAAGAACCAACTTGGAGCCAAATGACTCAGATGGCCTATGTGACCTATCTGAATCCACCACTTCTCCGTTAGACTGATATCTTTCCTCCTTTCTTGACATGTGAAGAAGCAAAGTGGCCAAGAGCAATGCAATCCCAAGTCCAATACTCAGTGTTATGCCAAGGATACCACTTCTATTGGTCCTACCAGTTGGACCAGAAGGCTCAAGTCCAAATGCTGGGCTCCTCTGGCACGAAGGAAGTGGGCTGCCGCAAAGACCCAAATTCCCTTCAAAACTCGAGTTTGAGAACGAGAAGAATTGCCCCCCATCGGGGATTTCTCCCTCCAAATAGTTATGGGCCACACTGAACTTCGACAAGAAGGTGAGATTGCATAAAGACATCGGTATTGATCCATTTAGCTCATTATAGGACAGATCCAAGAGTTCTAAGTTGACCATGTTTGAGATGGTATCGGGTATAGTTCCTGTGATGTTATTTCTGCTCAAATCTAATATGTGGAGCCCCTTCAACTGCCCAAACTCAGGCCATATCATCCCATTAAGTCTGTTATTGCTCAGGTAAAGTGCGGGGGGAAAGCTCGAAACCTGATTATACTGCATTCCATTAGAGCTCTTGTTTCGCTTCACATAGAGAGGGATATTGATTAGGGTGGCATTTGCAGTTGTATTGGCACTGACAAGCATTTGCAGCTGAGTCAAGCTCTTGGGTACTTCTCTAGTAAGAGAATTGTTCGAGACATCCAAGTAAAAGAGGTATTCAAAAGTGCCAATCCATGGAGGGATGCCTCCACTTAGGCGATTCCAGGATAGATCGAGCACTTGCAATTTCCTGCACTCTTGCAACCAATCAGGGATCTCACCCCAAAGCCCACAATTTCCCAATGCAAATACCATTAGGCTATTGAACCCACTGATACCAACTGGAATTCTCTCACCATTAAAATTCTTAGTGAGGATGAGAGTTGTAAGATTGCCACAGTTGTGCAGTATATCCAATGCTCTAGATATGTTTTGGAAGCTGTTGTTAGAGAGAGATAGCAAAGAGAGAGACTGGAGGTTTCCATAACTCTCAGGAACTTGGCCAACAAGGTTGTTTCTCGCAAGGCTTAACGTCTTCAACTCCTTGCAATTGGATAGAGAAGCAGGGAGTTCACCATTGAAACGGTTTGTAGCGAGATCTAGAGAGCTGAGATGCGGTATTTTTTCGAAAAGGAGATCAATGGTACCACTCAGAGAATTGTTTCTCAGGTCAACCACTTTAATCAAGGAACAGAGAGAGAGAGAAGCAGGCAATGTGCCGGTGAAGGAATTCGAGTGGGCAATAAGTTGTTCAAGCTTTGTAAGATTTCCAAATACATCAGGAAGAGGACCAAAGAATCGGTTTCCAAAAATCACAAGCGATACAAGGCTGGAGAGATTACTCACTCTCTCACTAAACCGACCAAAGAAATTGTTGGCTGGAATTGAAAGCTCCTTCAAGGAGAGCAACGTGAATACATCATAAGGAAGCCGCCCTGCAAGAGCATTGAAACCCATGTATAACTCTCTAAGAGAAGTACAATTTCCCAGCCCCAATTTAAGTTCACCAGAAAATCGGTTCTCAGAGAGATCCATGACCTGAATCATGGCTGAATTTCTGCAAATGTTGGTGACTATGGGTCCTGTGAATGAATTACTGCTGATATTAAAAACTGTGAGGTTTGGGTAGCCTCTGAAATCAACAAGACTTCCATTAAACAAATTGCTCGAAATGTTGAGAGATCGGATTGATTTAAGGCCAATCAAAGGGAGCACTGATCCTCTCAGCATATTGTAGCTCAGATCCAGAACCTCCAAATTTTGCAAATTCGAAAGTTCCTGAGGAAGTTCACCTTCTAAGAGATTGAATGAAAGAATCAGATATTGTAGCTGATCTAAGCGACCCAATGAGCCCGATATGACCCCTTTCAGACTCAAACCACGCAAAGCCAACTTCTTCACCCTAGCTACTTTTGAACTGTTTCCATTTCCCTGCAGATTAGGATCACAATAAACACCTTTCCATGAACAACAATTGGACCCATGAGACCAACCCAGAAGACCATTATTTGATAACGTTTCAACAAATTCGAGCAAAGCCTGTGAATCATTTGGATCACAGGTCTGGTTTACTTCTCGCTCTTTGGTAATGGAAATTGCATCTGAAGGAACCAATAGAATCCATACTAGAAGCGAAAATCCCATCCTTAAAACCTTGTTAGTCATATTTAGATTGAGAAACGCTAAAACTGTTTTCGCTCCCTCGAACACAAATTATGACAAGGAAACAGTTCCTTCTCTTTCACATGTATTCTTTTTCACTCTAAGCCCAAGCTCAATCATGGAGTGAGAAGCCACCACCGATCTCATAAAATATCACAAACTAAGATAGTCCACCAAACAGATATTCTTTCTCTTTTTAAGCATCTGAACCAAACCTCAATATAGAGGGAGAAACCAGCACCGATTTCACCAAACAACACACAGACTCAACAAAACCCCAAAACCCAAAACCCAATTCTATAAAACCTCCCAAAATCCCAAGCCAACTCCATGAAACCCCTCAGAACCCAAAACCCATCTCTTCAAACCTATAAAACTCAAAACCCAATCCCATGAAACCTCCCAAAACCCCAAGCCAACTCCATGAAACCCCTCAGAACCCAAAACCCATCTCTTCAAACCTATAAAACTCAAAACCCAATCCCATGAAACCTCCCAAAACCCCAAGCCAACTCCATGAAACCCCTCAGAAGCCAAAGCCTATCTCTTCAAACCTATAAAACTCAAAACCCAAAACCCCAATTGCTTGAAAAACTCACTCTCAGAAACAAACGCAGCACCATTACTTGAAAATGGTGATCATCAAAAGCAGCAAAACCCAGGCCCGTGATTCAATCTCAGAAACAAACGGGAATTTAAATATCTCGTAAGGAAAAAAACCCAAAAGAAATCCATGTCCATTCATGTACTGAAAGAATCAGGAACCCACCGCACATTAAAGGGAACCGAGAAAAGGGAAAGCAAAGAGATGAAAGCCAACAAGCACTTGGCTTAAGGAACCCATTAATGGAAATTTACTGAACCATTAAAATTCACGAGAAACTGACCTTTTTCATATCTGGATACAGAGAGAGAGGATAAAAATCCAAGGTTGATTTCGACTGGTCTTCGTCACTGTTGCTCTCTCTAAAAATCCAAGGTCGATTTCAACTGGACCTTTCTCTCTTAGTTTTGTTGGCTTGTTGTCGATGGATTCGATGAGGGAGAGAGAGAGGAGTAGTCAAAGGGAGGGTAGAAAGAGAGAGAGTTAGGTTTAGGTTGCGGGGGCGGTGGAGAGAGCGGAGGTCGCCGGACGTCACGGGGTGGTGCAGGTCATGAGTGAGACGGACGACGGCAAGAGTCAACGTTTTTGCATGTGACGCGCGGTCCCCACGCCAACTCCTAGAGAGAGAAACCCTCTGCCTTTAATAATGGAGGGAAATAAATGCTAGAGAGAGAGAGGGAGAGAAAATAGACACAAATAAACACTTATTTTAAGGCATGAGGTCTATATGACTCAAATGTATATATGCGTTCCCTCTCTAAAGTACATGTTATTTTATTCAAAATTTTAAGGATTCATCATATATACCAAAATGATGATAACTTTTCTTTAAAAAAAGGTCAAATTTTAAAAATTTAAACGTGCGTCTTTTTCGCAAGAGACTAGTTAGGTCCAAACTAGTGAGTCATAAAAATGTTAAAAATAAGTACAATAAAATAAAGAGTTTTGTTAGGCCACTCAGAGTATATATTTAAGGGTTCAACCCAATGGTTTAAAAACCGTATCGGTGACCCGGATTGGGCTTTTCAAAAATCGATTCGAATCGGCGAATCGGCGATCCGGATCGGCGAATCGGAGATCCGGATCGGAATCGGATGAATCGGTCAGAATAAAGC